TCTGATGAGGTCAGTTAATGGGAGGCTTTTGTTCCATTGTTTGAAAAGAAAGTTTAATTATTTCCAAGGGAATCGAGAAAACACATATTTTGCCTTTGTGATAAGATAAATCCCTTTGTGAAATCTTGTCCAGCTTGCGTGAGTCTTAACCCTGCTTCCTGTAGTCATAACAAGCTGTCACTGACGTGCACACTACAGCTGTCCCACACGAGCTGAGATATAGTAATGGCATCTATACACCTTCTGCATATCTCCAAGCCTCTTACAGTGCAAACTCCGCCAGCTTCTACCATGTGGCTGATGAATTTCTCATCCCAAAAGGCCCTTTCGTACTTGCCCAATTATTAACGAAAACATTATCAAAATGCACTCGTCCCCAATGATTCTTGGTTCTGGCTGTAAAAAATGCCTTGTAGCTCTGATGTCTTTATACACTGGTGTCTTGGGTACCACATGATAATACTGTTTGTACTGTAATATAGTACATTATCAGGCTATTGGCTTGTCAGGATAATTTGGGGCTAAGGACTGCTCATGATTATGGAACCAAATATACAATGTTCCTCATGGCATTTGTTCATGACACAAAGAGGTTTTTTTTGAAAAAAATATGCACTGTTAGATCAGAAATTTTGATTTGCTTCACAACTGGTTTCACGATTAGTTTCACAATTATCTGTTAATTGACAGTGGTGGGCAATAGTAATATTCAAGAAACGTCCCACCCCTCCCACACACACACACAGACACAAACTTCTGATGGCGGATATTATAAACCACAGCCATTTTATTGCAAAGTTCTTGTAAAAAAAAATTGTGTTTTGGCAGGCTGCCATAGATTGAGCAGAAGTTGCCATGCTGTGAAAATGATCACAGTTTAATTCTGAGCTCATCTCTACCAGCTGGATCCAGCGAGTGAGACTGTATAGAATATATTTGCTTCTATCTGTCAGTTGTTGGTGGCTGTGCATCGTTAGAATAACAAACACAAGTGTCAAGAGTATAATTATAAATAGTTTTAAACTATGTTTTCAGGGTACGTGAGAAACCACACCCCCTTAGGTTATGTAAATGATTAAACGTTGAAAGATTTCCAACTTCAGGAATTATGAAACATTTAGGAAGAGTCAGTGGTTAACCATGATAACCCCCAATTACTGTCAATATGTTGTAAAATATAACATCCGGCAAATTCTTTAATTCGGCTAAATATACTTTTCATTGTTTATTTTTAATTGTTTGGATTTTAATAAAACTTTTTTCATGAACGTGCATTCCACATAAGAATTTTTACAAAAGTTGTTTGTTTTCAGATCAAAAACATGATAAACCAAAGTAGTAGGCCAAGCTGTAATCTTTCAACAAGAACAGAAACAAATAGCTGGTTAAATTAATTTCAAACATACCAGCATTAAAGGAATTTTTTTTGTCATTGGGAATGACACGTTCTGAGTTCACCTGCATAATCTTTGATTATGTTATTGAAAGCGTGTTCATATAGGAAGATCAAAAATGAATTATTCCTGTGAGTTTGCAAATGTGGAATGCAGTAATAGTCTGAATCAATGTGTTAGTGTGTCATTGGTATGTTTTCCATGGGAGTATTAGGACACACTAACTGCCCCACTAAGATGTGTGAGTTTGCCTCAGGCTCTGCTCATATCAGTTCAATGGGGGAATACCATAATCCTGAACAAACTGGAGGGTGGGGTAAAATATTCATGGGCATATTATATACACTGTCTCCATAATTTCCTACTTATCAAGGATAGATTACCACTTGATAAATGTGTAATATTATATCAAAGTCACTAATCTTTTAGTGCAGATGCTGTTGCATATCAGGTGTAGAAAACATTACCAATAGATTCCCATTTTGACACCCATCATGCAGAATTCCCTACCAAATAAAAACCTACCCAAACCCACACTATATGATAGTAACAAATTACTAATAATATGGGAGTGATTTCAAGGGAACATTCTCATGCAGTTTCAGATCATTGTATGAAGCACTTAAATCCGATTTTTATGATTTCTAAGACGTTCTTTGGCACCCTTTTAATAATGTCTTAAAGATAGCATTGCATTAATTTCCTCTGACAGTAATTGAAGATTTGTTCATCACTATAATTGCGATTAGACGTGCAAGAAAAATTGCCTTAAAAAATTATCTTATCATCTTTGAAGCCAAACTCTTTAAAAATAATTATCTAATGCAGGTAATTACATAGGTCGTTTTATCCAATAACAACTGGTTTCGATATTATATGGATTTAAGTATTTTTTCTAGAGGGAAATATATAACATGTGGCAGTGTGAAATAACAGGAGCCATGTCCTCAACAAATCAGGATTCCAGTCACTTCAAAATATGAAAATGGTGGTTAGCCACTTCTGACTTAGTTTATTTTATAGTCATTCCAGTCCATGTTTTCCTTCAATCTCTTCATTAAGATTGTTCCTGCAACACTCAGCGTTAAACATTTAATGCCTAAATTCCATAGCAGATAAATTCTAATTATTTAAATAAGGACTTTATTGTCCCGACCATAAAATAGTTCATGCAAAATCCCTGTCTTATTCCCACAGGCAGTAAAACCTTACCAATCGAGCTTTTAATATATTTAGGAAGTATATTTTAGTGTGAACATTACAAGCAGTCTAATCTAAACAAATGGTATGCAATCGCTTCAATGATTGCTACATTATTTCCTTGGAGATACTGTGGGTCAAAATCACCATGGTGAATACTTACCAGTGAATAAATAGTGGAAATATTTCAAACAAAAGCCTCCTTTTGGCTATATTCCAATCTGAATTTGCCAGCAGTCAAATATTAGCTCCATAGACCAGGCTTTGGATATTAGATCAATTATTTTCATAAATGTTTTATAAAGGTCTGCATCACAACATTGCAACCCCATTGAGAAGCAAAGCAGAAGGACATAATGCTCATTAACAAAATATTTCCTGTGTTATAATTTAATGAGAAATGAGACGTCTATAGTCTGTTATATATATACTGTATATATAGTCTGTTATATATATACTTATTTTAGTAATTGTCATTAATATTGTTTTTGATGGGTAATTAGCTCATATTAACATGCTATAAAGTTTGCTTGTAAAGGTTTAAGTTATTCTGCTTTGAATTATAAAAGCTATAGTTTGGAGATGATAAAATATAGGTGAAGACATTTTTACTGTTAGGTGTAAAAAAGTAGAATGTGAGAACATATTGTCAAGATCTGGAAGCAAAGTAAAGAAATTGGTAATTCAAATTATTATAAGTAAGTGCACTTAAAGCATGGAATAAATTGGCACTTACTGCAACAAATGTAGAAAATAATGGTTTATTTACTAACAAATTATAGATGTTTTACTTTTCATAAATTTTCTCCAGCTTTCACTGATGTTTACAACTGCTTTTCAAGGTGATTTTCTTTGCCTTAGACCAGGAGCACAGAGACCGACTCTAATGTCTACCGCCTTGCCGAGTTGGCAACTAATTCAGCATCTGTCTGGTAGATATGGTTCAATCACATTGGATAATGTTTTTTCCCAAAGGAGGGATCAGGAGCGTTGCTGTCTTCTTGACAGTGGAGATCCAGGAGGGAAAAAAAACATAAGGCACCATTTGAAAAGAGAAAGGAGTTTCTCCCAGTGTCCAGGCCAACAAACCCCAGATAAAAGTGATCATTCACTTCAATCCAAATTTGTGATCCAAATTTGTTGCTGCATTAAATCCCATCAATTACACAATCACTACGCTTTACAGTATATCCTACGAAGTGCTTCGAGATGTCTTCCTGATGTGAAACTTGCTCTAATACTATATTAATAACAAAGTCTTAGGCTTCGATCCGGTTCCTTTCACTGAAGGAGGAACATCTCAAGGTGTGGTACAGGAATCGCCGCCAAGTGTGGTGACTGTGTAATTCGTCAGTGAAAAGCAACAGACAATCTGTGCACAGGGACGTACTGCAAACAGCTGTGACACAACTGACCAATTTTATTGTGAACCAGGATTGTGAGGATTGTTAGTGGAAGTATTGCACAAATGCAATAAATGAAAGGAGGGGAGGAGAGAGAGAGAGTGAGTGAGAGTGAGGGAGTGAGAGAGAGAGAGTGAGTGAGAGTGAGGGAGTGAGAGAGAGAGAGAGTGAGTGAGAGTGAGAGAGTGAGTGAGAGTGAGGGAGTGAGAGAGAGAGAGAGTGAGTGAGAGTGAGGGAGTGAGAGAGAGAGGAGTGAGAGTGAGAGAGAGAGAGAGAGAGTGAGGGAGTGAGAGAGAGAGAGAGTGAGTGAGAGTGAGGGAGTGAGAGAGAGAGTGAGTGAGAGTGAGGGAGTGAGAGAGAGAGAGAGTGAGAGTGAAGGAGTGAGAGTGAGAGAGAGTGGGAGTGAGAGTGAGGGAGTGAGAGAGAGAGAGAGAGAGAGAGAAGAATCTGGCAGCCCTGAACCAAACCAACCCCCCCCCCCCAATTCTGAAAGAATAGAATTAATACATATAAATATAGTTATATATACTTAATGCATTCAATTTATATTTATGTACATAGAGGCATTGCCTCTTTAAGAAAGTGACTCCTCTCCCAGAACAATAATAGTGGAGGCAGCGCCCCCGGAAGGGAAGTGACCTGTGGTTTGTTCCAGAAACAAAGTCCAGTCAAGTCCTGAATTATCTGTCATTAGGGGCTGAGTGTTTAGGGGGGAAGAGAGGGAGAGGGAGAAAGAAAGAAAGAAAGAAAGGAAGAAAGAAAGGAAGGAAGCAGAGAGAAAGAAAGAAAGAGAGAGAGAGAGAGAGAGAGACCACTTTACTGGGAGAGAAAGAACATCTCTCTCCAGTGTTGAGAGAGAAAAGAAAAATAGATTGTTTAAAATATAATATATCTGTCTATCTATTTGCTGGGAACCTTCTCTCCCTCTCTCCCTCCCTCTCTCTCTCTCTCTCTCTTTCCACCATTCTCTCTCTCCTTCCTTTGGGAAGTGGGGGGGGAAGGGGGGGGGAAGGGGGTGGGAAACACATGAGAAGAACTTTCTTTCCTCTCTCAACTCAACTGTGGAAAATGGCGGCGTGGACTCCTCGGGATAAATGAGGGCAAAGCTGGAAAGGGGAGGAGAGAGGACCAAAAAGTTGTGGAAGAAGTTTGTGCCGCAGCAATGACTCGTTGGGTCCCAACAAAGAAAGAGAAATACGGAGTCGGTGAGTTGGAGAGTTCCCCACAACCCTCACACACCCCCCACCACCACACCACACACACACACACACACAGCCCCCCCCCCCCACCACCACACACACACACACACACCCCCCACCCCACCACCACCACACACTCACACACACACTCACACCCCCTCACACACCACCCATACACACTCACACACACACTCACACCACCACACACACTCACACACACAGACCCCCCCCACCACCACACACTCACACACACACTCACACACTCACACAGCCCCCCCCCCCACCACCACACACACACAGACCCCCACCACCACACACTCACACACACTCACACACTCACACAGACCCCCCCCCACCACCACACACACACACACTCACACAGACCCCCCACCCCCACCCCCCACACACACACACACACTCACACAGACCCCCCCACCACCACACACTCACACACAGACCCCCCCCCACCACCACACACTCACACACAGACCCCCCACCACCACCACCACACACTCACACAGAACCCCCCCCACACCACACACACTCACACAGACCCCCCACCACCACCACACACTCACACACACACTCACACAGACCCCCCCACCCCCACCCCCACACACACACACACACTCACACAGACCCCCCCCCCCACCACCACACACTCACACACACTCACACAGACCCCCCCCCACCACCACACACACACAGACCCCACTACCACACACTCACACACACTCACTCACACACACAGACCCCCCCCCCACCACCACCACACACTCACACAGACCCCCCCCACCACCACACACTCACACAGACCCCCCCACCACCACCACCACACACACACACACACACACACTCACACAGACCCCCCCCCCACCACCACACACACACACACTCACACAGACCCCCCCCACCATCACACACTCACACACACTCACACAGACCCCCCCCCCCTCACACCACCACACACTCACACACACTCACACAGACCCCCCCCCACACCACCACACACTCACACACACTCACACAGACCCCCCCACCACCACACACTCACACAGACCCCCCCCACCCACCACCACACTCACACAGACCCCCCCCCCACACCACCACACACTCACACAGACCCCACCACCACACACTCACACAGACCCCCCCCACCCACCACCACACACTTACACAGACCCCCCCCCCACACCACCACACACTCACACAGACCCCCCCACCCCACCACCACACACTCACACAGACCCCCCCCACCCACCACCACACACTCACACAGACCCCCCCCCCACACCACCACACACTCACACAGACCCCCCACCCCACCACCACACACTCACACAGACCCCCCCCCCACCACCACACACACACTCACACAGACCCCCCCCCACCACCACACACTCACACAGACCCCCCCCCACACCACCACACACTCACACAGACCCCCCACCCCACCACCACACTCACACAGACCCCCCCCCCACCACCACACACACTCACACAGACCCCCCCCCACCACCACACACTCACACAGACCCCCCCCCCCACCACCACACACACACACTCACACAGACCCCCCCCACCACCACACACTCACACAGACCCCCCCCCCACCACCACACACTCACACAGACCCCCCCCCACCACCACACACACACACAGACCCCCCCCCCCACCATCACACACTCACACAGAACCCCCCCCACCCCCCCACACACAGACCCCCCCACCACACACTCACCCCCCACCACACACTCACACAGACACCCCCCACCACGCACTCACACACACACAGACCCCCCCACCACCACACACTCACACAGACCCCCCCAAACCCCCCCCACACAGACCCCCCCACCACACACTCACACAGAACCCCCCCACCCCCCCACACACAGACCCCCCCCCACACACACTCACACAGACCCCCCACCACACACTCACACAGACCCCCCCCCACACACCCTCACACAGATACCCCCCCACACACCCTCACACAGATACCCCCCCACACACCCTCACACAGATACCCCCACACACACCCTCACACACACCCTCACACAGACCCCCCCACACACACCACACAGATACCCCCCACACACAGACCCCCACCCACACAGACCCCCCCACACACACACTCACACAGAACCCCCCACACACACGACCCCCCCCCCACACACACACAGACCCCCACACACACAGACACCCCCCCCCCCACACACACACACACAGACACCCCTCTCCCCCCACACACAGACCCCCCACATCTCCTTCTGTAATGGGGGGCAACTTAGCATTTCACAGTCGAAGAGTTTGGATTATTTTTTCTCGTGTTATGTGTGTTTTTGTGGGGAGGAGAAGCAGTGTTTATTGGTGGGGGGGACCCTCCTACTCCTGTTTGTACATTGCAAAGATTTCCGAAAATCCGGGCCTGCTTTGCTTTCTTTCTTTCTTTCTCTCTCTCTCTCTCTCTCCCTCTGTCTCCTTCCTTTCTTCCTCGTTCAACACCCCCCCACTCCCCCCCCACCCAAAAAAAAAACACACACACAAAACGTGGCTCAGTGTGAAAAGCTTCAAAGCTTCTCAAGTTTGGAGGAGGTGTTAAAATGGGGAGTATATTAGATTTAGAATTAATAGGATCTCTCTCTCTCTCTCTCTTTCCTTCCCTCTTCTTTCCTTCCACTCCTTTTTTTCCCCCCACTTTCCTCTCTTTCCTCCTTCCCTCTCGCTTCTTAAATACTGGGAATCTCTCTCTCTCTCCCTCTCTCCTCTCTCCTCTCCTCTCCTTTCTCCTCAAAGACTGGGAAGCTCCTTCCCTTCCCTTTTCCTCCTCTCCTCTCTTTCCTCCTTCCCTCTCTCCTCTCCTTGGATGAATTAAAATGAGAGGCACCAGGGCTTGAGAGGCTCCACTTTTCCCAACTCTCCCAGAGGCCTGAGCCTCAGTCTTGCCTGCCCTTGCCCTGTTCCTGCAGGAATTGTTGGATCATTCCCCAAACATCAACCAGTGGCTCTTTACATTGTGGGGGGAAAAAAAATCACTCTTTGATGTAGGAATCAAACCTGTTGAAATGCCACAATCAGTAACTTTCTTGCCCGGTAGTAACCCTGCTACCGTTTTTGAGTCCTGATGGATACAATTTGTATAAAGACACAAACACACAGTCTTGATAATGAACAAATACAAATGTTCTTTTATCAATTGATTCTCTTGTTATTGTTCAACACCGACCGACCGACTGACTGGAACTCGTACTTTTAAGTTGCTCACAAAAGACGATTACTTTTTTTTAAGAGGAAGAAAGTCTTTTATCTCATGCCAAACCGCTCAATACAAAATTGTCTTATGAAGGTATCCAGCTTTATTTTGGTAGGTTTATTTGTTTTGCTGTAAAGGAGGTTACGGTGTATCTTGTTTATAAACATAGGCTTACATTGTGTCCAAAGGATGCTATTGCAGCAGATAGTACTGATAGCTCTGGCTTAACGTGTCGCCACTACCTGTTAAGTCATCATGCTGTCAATGTCCTAGTCACAGTTATTTATGTATTTATACAAATGTCCAACTCGCCACTCCAGATAACTCCTCACTCAGCCCTTTGCCCTGGGAGTGACGAGTTACCTGAAATACTGTAAAACGATGGGTATAATAATACTGTAGGGGCTTGAACATCAGTGTAGTGATGGGGTGGTGCTGCATTATTGGAGGTGCGACCATCCTTCAGATGGGATTTCATGTCTGCCAGATCAGGTGGGCATTGAAGATCCTGTGGCACAATTTGAAGAGAGAAGAGTTCCCCTGCCCCCCACCCCACCCAAAAAAGTCATTTGTGGTACACTGATGTGTGCAATTGGCTGCCGCGTTTCACCCGCAAAATAAACAGTCAATCCACTTTACAGTATATTCTGTGAAGCGCTTTGAGCCGTCTCAAAGATGTGATAAGGCGCTATATCAAGTGCAAAGATTATTATTATTATTCAACTTCTGGCTGTTTGTGGGTCATTGCAGTGTTCAAATTCACTGCGGCATTGACCTTAAGATTACAGTCACAATGCTCTACTTTTTTTTTACTTGGGGTACTTGCGGAATAAGAATACCACAGAGAAAGCGATTCATCCGTGACTAGCTAGAGCAGTTAGGGAAAGCATCAAATTAAAAGAAAAAGCTTATAAAACTGCCAAGAAAAGCAGCAAATCTGAAGATTGGGAGAGTTTTTGAAACCAGCAAAAAAAAAACTAAAAAACTCATTAAGAGTGAGAAAAAGGAGTATGAGGGTAAGTTCGCTGGGAACATTAAGTCTGATTGTAAAAGTTTTTACAAATACATTAAGAGGAATAGGCTAGTGAGGGTAAATGTAGGTCCACTTCAGTCAGAGACGGGAGAAGTTGTAATGGGGGATAAGGACATGGCAGATTCCCTAATTGGGTACTTTGCATCTGTCTTCACCCGAGAAGACACAACAAGTCTGCCAACAATAGAGATGCACCAAGGGGATAAGGACAGGGAGCAACTTAGGGAAATTGGTGCTCGGGAAACTGTTAGCACTAAAAAGTGACAAATCCGCTGGTCCGGGTGGCTTGCATCCCAGGGTTTTAAAAGAGGTAGCTTATGAGATAGTGGAGGCCTTGTGTCTGATCTTCCAAAATTCCTTGGATTCTGGAATAGCCCCCATGGATTGGAAGATCGCAAATGTCACACCACTATTTAAAAAAGGTGGAAAGGAAAAGATGGGGAACTATAGGCCAGTTAGTCTAACATCAGTGATAGGAAACATTTTTGAATCATTGATTAAGGATGTGGAAGTGCGCTATTTAGGGGAGCACAATATAATTAGGCCAAGTCAACATGGCTTTACAAAAGGGAAGTCATGTTTGACAAATCTCATAGAATTTTTTGAGGATATTTCGAGTAAACTAGATAAGGGTGAATCAGTGGATGTGGTCTATTTGGACTTCCAGAAGGCATTCGATAAGGTGCCGCATAAAAGGTTAGTCCAAAAGATAGGGGC